TGAAGCTTTGGTATAAAAATAAATCCAAGCTACTCTCTGACGTTTCTCCCTTGAGTACCTTTACTGGGCAAACATGGTTCCCTCCTGCTGAAAAACCTTCATCATTTGGGCAATGGAGAAGAGTGGGGATCACTAGAACAGTTGATGTTATGCAAAGGGGGGGTGAGAATTACAAAACTAGATTTGGAAAGAAAATTTAAAGTCAGTCTGCCTTGGTTTGAATATCTGCAGATCCAAAATATGCTGGAGACTCTCAAAAGCAAATACAACTTAAATGTTCAATTTACAGAATTTGAACAACTGCTAAGGACTAGTGAACCAGGCAATAACAGGTTAATTTCAAAGATTGTTATTGTTAAGTAATGCTGGAGGAGCAGTTCCTACACATCTGAAAGCTTGGCAGAAAGATCTCAAAGTAGATATAACAGAGGGACAATGGAATGAGATCTGGACAGCTCAAAGTAGTTTCTCAAAATCCCTGATAATCCAAGCTATGGTATATAAAGTATTTTTAGGTGGTATCTAATGCCAGAGATAATAGCACATATGACTTTTAATGCTTCTTCAGCTTATTGGAAGTTATGTGGTGAGAAAGGCTCATTCTACCACAATTGGTGGGAATGTATACATATCACCACTTTTTGGAAACAAATATTACAATCAATTAAAGAAATAACAGGCTACGAGCTTGCATTAGATCCAATGACAATTTTGCTTAACTACTGGAAGAAAGACCAACTACCTACAATAAGGAAAGAGTTAATAATGATATTACTCACTGCGGCTAAAGCGGTGATCACCCAACACTGGACAGATAAATCACCTCCAACAGTGACACAGTGGTATCACAAAGTATGGGACTATTTTATGCTTGAGAAGTTTTCTTTGTATTCAAATAGTGGAAACACAGATGGTAATTTTTTCAACCCCATGGACAAATGGTATCCTTTTATTGACAAGATGGCATGGATAGAGAATATTGTGAAAGTTGGTCGTATTATAAATACTGGTCTTATTCAAGCCGTTATTAGGATTAAGTTGACATTAGAGATTGGAGAGTGAAATGAAAGTTAACGGGTTGGGGCGAAGAGGTATTTTAAATGGTTATTTTCTGATAACACAGAAACAGTTTTCCTTGATTGTTAAAATAAGGAAGTTTTCCTTGATTGTTAAAAAAGAGTTTTGTATTTGAGTGGTAAATCCTTACTATGGAAAAGGTTGTGATGAAAGTATATGTATTCTACATTGTATTGTTATGTATTATGATTGCCACTATATGTGTTTTTTTGTTGAATTAAAATAATAAAATATTTTGTCCAAAAAAAAAAGTATACTCGGTTTTATCAACCTCCAAAACATATGGTTTGACACCAAAATGAGCTACAGGGAAAATGGGTGTCTCTACAACTAATATAATAATGTTTTTGGTTTTATCAACCTCAAAAACATATTTTGAAATCCAGCTGAGCCTCCTACATGAAATTTAAAGATCATAACAACTGTATCTGCCATGTTGGAAAATGGAAGCTACAGGAAAAACATCCCAAAATTGAAATGTCTCCCCAAGCAAACTCTAAAGCAGTAGTGCCCTGAAATGCAAACAAACAATAAAATTCTCTGTACATATATATTTTTTGTGGGGGTATGTGGTAGCTCCAGACCTATTATCATTATGGAAAAGTAATTTGGAAAGGGCTTTTCAACTCTTTTTCACTGCTGTACCATTTCCTGCAATTCTGTTCATTATAGAATGGTGTAAAAGATCCCTTCTAAGGTCCCTCTTAGATTTCCAGAGAAACAAGTTTGTATAGTTAGGGGTGCCCTGACTGAAAAGCTAAAAACTGCAATTATAGAACTGATCTGGAATGCTGAGCTCAAAAAGAGGTGACAGGGCCATTAAAGAGTACCTAACAAATGTGCAGGTTGCTGTAGAAGGAAAATTGTAAAGCTGTGTTGCCAGCTCTTTGTCATGGGTGCTGAGGAAGGGCCATTGCCAGCTCCAGCTGAACCCACAGCTGGCCCCTCTGAAGCTGCAGAGATCGGCAATTTACCCTCACAGCCTGCACTGGCACCTGGCTCAGAGACGGCTGACAAGCAATAGACACAGAAGGACAGCCCTCCTGATTCGCCCCCAAGAGTTGCTCACTTACGAGGCAGACTCTGGCAAGACTTAGCAGCAAGAAGACGCTCAGCTTGGCTAATTTGGCTGGAGATCCTGGAAGTTTTTTTGTCATCCTCTGGCTGTAGACCAGAGGTCACTGGGGGTGTGGGGGCGGAGAGGTATTTGTGAATTTCCTGCAGTGTGAAGGGGGTTGGACTAGATGTCCCTGGAGGTCCCTTCCAACTCTATGATTCTATGTCCAACTGGTCTACAGCTAGGCTTGCTAGCCCCAGGTCTGGGTGAGGGATCCCTAGGGTTGCCAAGTCCTGTCTCCCCCTCCAGCGGGGGACTTTGGGGGGCATTCCGGGGCGTTCCTGAAGGGGGCGGGGCATCCCCGACGTGATAACGTCATGTTGGGGATGTCCCCTTGCCCGACAGGGGTGCCGGCATTTCCCTCCGTGGCTGACCTCCGCGGAGCCTGGGCGTGCGAAATGCTGGCTCCCTGCAGTTAAAGGGCCCCCCCAAAAGGGTAGAAGCCCCCCAAAAGCGGGGGACCCCTGCCAAACTGGAAGGTTTGGCAACCCTACTGACCTTCCACAGCCTGCAGTTCAGCGTCTTAACCAGCTGGCCAGTGGGAGAAACCCCGCCCCGAACAGAAAGGTGGTTTTAATTGTGCTCTTTCCAGGTTTCAGAATCACTCAATGGTCATGGAGGAAGGAAGGGTGATTTACACCTCGCCAGCCTTCCTGTGCTTTAAATGGCACACATTAGTGGGTCAGAGCCCATTGGCTTTGTTTGTTGGCATTAGCTCACTCTAGGAAACAGCAAGGTGAGTCCTTGTCCTGCAAAGATCAATTAAGGCCCCAGTCACACGGGCTGCATATCGCAGGGGGGAGGTGTGGCTGTTTGCCCCGCAGCGAAATAACGCACGACTGCACGATCAGGCGTCCCCTCGCGGTACCGTCGAGGTCCCGGGGTTAGGGGGGAGGTACCGATCACACGACGCGCCAAAGAAGTGGTGCGGCACGGCAAACGGGGTTGTGTTGTTGTTTTTTAACCTGAAGTATGTGCATGCCCCGTTGGGTGCTTGTGCGCATCCCTGGAGACTTCGAAAAAAAACCCCTTTTCGCAATGGGGCATGGGCGGGCTCCGGATGCCACCGGAAACGCAATCAGACGCCCGCCCTTGCCCAGCGGTTTCCGGAAACTAGTACCTCTGAGGTACTAGTTTTTTACCACGCGTCTTCAGCGGGAAGCCTCGGGTGAGCCACGGAAGCTCTACGCTTCCCAGATGTGGCGGTGAGTTCGCGCCCAGAAAATCCGCCTATCTTCCATCCCTCTAGCGTGGCTAATGCTCCGTGTGACCGGGGCCTAAGCAAAGTTTGCGTGATAAGGAAACTCTCTTTCATGAGGTAGGGGAGGGGCAGGCTCTTTGTTCTTCTGAGCAAACTGCAACTCGTAGCAGATCTTCCTTCCAGGAGGGACTCTGACCCTTTCACACTGAGTAGTGCAGTCAGTGTTTGCTTTTCAGCCAGTCCACTTGGGAGGAAGGGCTGTAACCCGTCATGTGATGTTCCAGCCAATGGCGGGGGGGACTGTCCCCCCCAGCAGATGTGAGAAAGCAGCTCCCTGAGGAGGCTTCCATGCTGCTGGGCACAGCACGTGCCTAGAGAGGGTTGCTTTACACTCATGTGCCACGGGAAGTGTGCTGAGTGATCCTGGGCCAGTCCCTCCTGCTCAGCCTGACCTACCTCACGGTTGTTGTTATGAGGACACGACGGAGATGGGGAGAACTGTGTTGTAAGCCATGGGGGGGGGTGCCCATTGGGAAGAAAAGCAGAGTATAAATATTCAAATAACGAAAGAGAAGAGCAGAAAGACAAGGCGGAAAAACCCAAGGACCTTGTCTTCCCCATTTCAAGCATTTTCCCTGATGCAGTAAATGCTGTCTGTTGCCACAGGAGGGCGCATTGAAATGAGAGATTCAGCTTGTGCTCCTGAAGATGTCACCAAGCTATACGATACACCAGACACGTGCCGGGTCACAGATGCGCAACCTGACTTGCAAACAGACGTGCACTGGAGGAAACTCACCTAGAAAAGTCCTCATTTGCTCAGAGCTGGCAAAGGCAGGGTGGGAGGAAAATTGGAAGTTCCTTCTTCCCCCCGCCCCCTCGCAGCGCTCCCTCACAGCACCAATTGCTTTTTAAGGTGAGTTCCCCCAATCTATACTTTTTTGACAGTTCAGCCACATACCCATGATGACCCAACACGTGTTCATTGTATCATGTAAAAGGTAAAGGTAAAGGTTCCCTTGCTCGAAAGCCAGTCGATTCCGACTCTAGGGTTGCGGTGCTCATCTCCGTTTCAAAGCCGAAGAGCCAGCGCTGTCCGAAGACGTTTCCATGGTCATGTGGCCGGCATGACTAAACACCAAGGCGCACGGAACGCTGTTACCTTCCCACCGAAGCGGTACCTATTTATCTACTTGCAATTTCTTGCTTTTGAACGGCTAGGTTGACAGGAGCTGGAACTAGAGACGGGAGCTCACTCCGTCATGCGGCACCCGGGTCTCGAACTGCTGAACTACTGACCTTCCACAGCCTGCAGTTCAGCGTCTTAACCACTTGAGCCACCGCAGCTCCTTAAATGTATCATGTAGTTTCACTCTAATTAACCAATGGGGCGGGGGGGGAGCAAACTGAATTTGGAGAGTGAATCTCTGCCCATGAAGTGCCAAATGTTGCGAAAGCTCACTGATCTCCATAGGGAGGGCAGCATCTTGGTGTGGCTAATCCCACCCCCCACCCACCAGTGGCTGGTCAGAGGCCTGGTGCCTCCTCCTCCTCCTCTCCCTTCTCTTCCGACTCAGCTTCCCAGCCTACTGAGTTCAGCCCTACCCATCCACACTTCCCCGAACTGCCCGTTGCCCAGTTTCTTGATGAGCTGCAGTGAATCACGCGGGATCTCCCAAACATCTTTGGTTTTGACGGAAAGGTCTGCTAGCTTGGGCATCCCCTTGTGGCAGGGCACAGCCAGGCGGCAGCAGAGCCCTGCAGCTCTCTCTTGCCAAAGGAAAAGGAAGGGGGGAGAGAGAGAGAGAGAGAGATCAAAAGAAAGAGAGAAAATGATGAGAGAGCAGGCACAAATACCGCACAAAAGCTGTATTGGCAGGAGTCTTAAAATTTCCTAAATCAATAAATAAACTCTGTTAAGAAAGGGGTACTGGGTGCCGTCACAAAATGGCTGCCATGGGAGGTGGGGGTGATTGACAAAATGGCTGCCATCAACAGGGCTGTTACAAAATGTTGGGAGGTTTCAAGCCAAGCGTCATCCTACTGTGGAGACAACTGTTTCCAAAGAGGTTCTCACTACAGACCCAAAAGTGATTCCTCCCAGGCTCTTTTGAGACCCCTCCTGCTCCAGTGACGCAGAAGAAAGCCAGGATTGGCTCATTGCTGTAGAGAAGAAGCCAGCAAATTGGTGGGCACCATGGTGGGAATCACTGCATGATAGCAATCGCTCACCTTGCAGACCTTGGCTAGTCAAGTCCAAGATAACCCAGTGCCAAAGGATCACTGTAGTGCAGCAGAAGGGCAATAGCCAAGGATGTCAGTGGTGAGCTTCCAGGATGTAGCTGCCAGTCCAGCATTTCTTAGACCCAGCGAACACAGTTAATCCTCCCCCAAGAGGGCTGAAGAAGCTTTCTGGAGCCAGACCTCTGGTTGCAAATCCTCTTGCTGCCCCCAGGCTGCCCCCCACCTTACCTATGTAATGCTGGACCAGCTGCTGCACAGTCTCAAACTGAGCCCGTGTGGTGATGTAATAGCCTCCGTTGTCCAGTTTCCGGATCTTATAGTGCTTGACATGGTCGCCTTTCACCTCGTCCCAGTCGCGAATAGACAGAGAATAGGCACCTGCCGGAAGGGGAAGCAGAGGGAAGGTCATGCTTGAGGGAGTTCCAAAAAGACACAATTGACATCTTACAGTGTATCTTATAGAAGGCGTTTTTTGTCTGCACAGGCTGTAGGAATGGGATGAAGGCATCCATCTACTCACGTAGATGAATGAGGTAGGAAGACTCCAGTTGTCATCCTCCCTGTTGATGCAAAATTAGTTCAGGGAGGAGAGATGTTCTAGGCTACCTTTTTTGTATGCCCTACTTTTGGCTTCGGCCGAGAGCCGAAGAATAGATTCTTTTGAACTATGGTGCTGGAGAAGACTCTTGAGAGTCCCTTGGACTGCAAGAAGATCAAATCAGTCAATCCTAAAAGAAATCAAACCTGACTGTTCCCTGGAAGGCCAGATAATGAAACTGGAGCTCAAATACTTTGGCCACCAAATGAGAAGGGAGCACTCACTGGAGAAGACCCTGATGCTGGGAAAGATTGAAGGTCAAAGAAGACGGGGACGGCAAAGGATGAGATGGTTAGACAGTGTCATAGATGCAACGAACATGAAATTGAGCCAACTTCAGAGGACGGTGGAAGACAGAAAGGCCTGGCGTGATCTGGTCCATGGGGTCGCGAAGAGTCAGACTCGACTGTGCGACTGAACAACAACTTTTGGCTTTATTCAGCCAAATTATGTACTTAATGGTCCAGTTGTGGATTACATGCTGTGGTAAGAAATTTTAGAAATATAGAAAGTTTGGGTTTAAAAATGAACCAAATAGTTTATAAAATCCATATATCTGTCTCTGCCTTTGCTAGCAAACAGGCTTGGCCTTTTTTCACTGAACCAGAGATGTAACACATTCCATTCCCAGAAAATCTCCACAGGTGTGAGACTTACAATAACCAGCAATAAACTGCAGCTGGCCAGGAAGGCCATTTGGGCAGTAACAGACCCTAATCCAAAATGCAAACTCCTGAGATACAGGATTTCACATACCCCACTTCCACCTCAGAGATAACTTCAAAGTAATCTCTCTGATAACTTCAAAGAACAGTTTATCCCCAATGGTGGGAATACCAGGAAAACAATAACACTATACTGATCCGGTAAATAAAAGTGTAAACTTTTGTTGTGTGAGACCAAGGAAGCAATTTCCTGCAAGACAATTTCAACTTCTAAATATTAATTTACGACTGTAATTTAATTATTGAGGGACCTCTTTGATCATTTGGTTTAAATACTGGCCAAATCCAACAGATCTTCGCTGGCTCTCGAAGAAACAAGAGAGGTCTTTGCCCTCTGCAGCCTTTTGGAGTCAGCCCGAGAGGCCTTTCGTTCTCTGCATGCTTTGGGGTGGGATAGAACTTTGCTTGCATGTTTATTTTTCTGTGTATTTACTATCAATATTTAGGAAATGGGATTCTACTGTGTTGGCAAGCTGGCATAGCGTCTTGCTGGTCACCTTGCCAGGTAAATCTTTGAATGTTTTTCTTTTAATAAGGATAAGTTTTATTTTAAGAAGAGACCTTTGAGTGTCTCTGCCAGCGCTTAGCGGTTTCCAAGCTTACACCTCTGCCTTTGGTAAGGAGGCGACACTCAGGGGACACGCGAACCAGGGAGAGTGTGGGTGACACGGGTAAACACGCATTCACAGACGCGTGCAGCCACACACACTTTTCTCACAACACATGCCATTTATCCTGAAGGGATTGAGTTTAATTTACTGCCTTGATATTCACTTTCCTCCCCAACAGGGACCCAAAGCACCTTACAGTCTCCTCTTCTCCACAGCCCAGGGGGGGTAGGTTAGGCTGAGAGTGTGACTGGACCAAGGTCCCGCAGCAAGCTTTCATAGCAGAGTGGGGATTCGATCCAGGGACTTCCAGATCCTAGTCCAATTATTCTCAATGACAAGTAAGATAGTTGGCCATGTTCCAGTTTTAAGGATCACCTGAAGCTGACTTCTCCTGAGTCAGGCCCTTAGTCTATCAAAGTCAGCGTGGTCTTCTCTGACTGGCAGGCTGTGGTTCTTCACATCACTGCACACCTAATTGTTTTAACTGAAGATACCGGGATTGGACCTGGGACCTTTTGTATGCAAAGCAGATTCTCTTCCACTGAGCCACACACCAAGGCCATTTTAATGACACCCTGGTAGACCTCCTGATTTAAATCCCATCATCCAGGTGGAAGCATTCTTGAGATGTACTGACCCATGGAACCAGCAGATGGTGCAATAATGCAGCTCAACGTTTTAAAGGAGTTTGTTGTTGTAGATTTTCCAGGCTGTATTGCTTGACGTTTCACCGGCTGTATGTCATGACGTTTCACCAGCAGCTGTGACTGGCATCCTCAGAGATATAACACAGAAAGATGGAGTACTCTGTGTCAATAGTACTCCATCTTTCTGTGTTATACCTCTGAGGATGCCAATCACAGCTGCTGGTGAAACGTCAGGTACTACAATGCCAAGACCTCGGCCATACAGCCCGGAAAATCTACAACAACTAATGAACTCCATCCGTGAAAGCCTCCGACAACATATTTTAAAACAGTTCTTTCTCACGAGTATGGCAGTGAAGTTGTCCCAATCTGAGTTGTATTGCTTTCCCTGGACAACATGGTTTCACAACTTTTTTAGTTCTCACACCCACTATATTCAAAAAGTGTGACTTTTGCTATATTGCACTTTTACTGAACCTAGCAATAGGAAAAAGGTTAAATAGCCCTCTTGGAAGGGGCTATTCCTGGAGGCACTGAAGGAGGCAGTGGTGCGCCCTCTCCTGAAAAAGCCATTTTTGGACCCAGCTGAATTGGCCAACTATCGGCTGGGTTTCAATCCTATTTGGGCAAGACAATAGAGAGGGCAGTGGCAACTCAGTTACAGGGCTTCTTGGATGACGCTTCCATCCTAGATCCCTTCCAGTCTGGCTTTCACCCAGGTCACGGGATGGAGACAGCACTGGTCGCCCTCACGGACGACCTCCGGAGGCATCTGGATCGGGGCGGATTGGCAGTGCTGTTGTTGTTAGACCTGTAGGCTGTGATCGACACAGTCGACCATCAGTTACTGATCCACCGCCTCACCGACACTGGTCCAGGGACTGGCCTTACAGTGGCTCGCTTCCTTTCTCCAAGGTCGGGGACAAAGAGTGGCGCTGGGGGACCAGCTGTCCCAAAGGCACCCACTGGAACGTTGAGCTGCATTATTGCACCATCTGCTGGTTCCATGGGTCACTGCATCTTTAACATCTATATGCGCCCTCTTGCCCAGATTACCAGTATGCGGATGACACCCAGCTCTATCTGTTGTTGGGTGATCAGTCTGACTCCAAACTGAAAGACCTAGACCAGGTGTTACAAGCCATGGCTGGTTGGCTTAGACTGAGCCAGCTGAAACTGAATCCAAGAAATACAGAGGTCCTGTGCCTGAATCAGGGTGGTCCGAGATTAGGGATCCTGCTCCCGACCTTTGATGGGGCGCCATTGGTGCCAGCGCCGGAGGTTAGGAGTCTGGGAGTGCTCCTGGATGCCTCCCTAACAATGGAGGCTCAGGTAGCAGCCACTGCCAGGTCAGCCTTTTACCATCTCCGGCTGATTAGGCAGTTGGTTCCCTTTCTCGAATGCAATGATTTGGCAACAGTGATCCACACAATGGTCACCTCGAGATTGGATTATTGTAATGCCTGCTACATGGGGCTGCCCTAGTCTCAAATCCGGAAGCTTCACCTGGTGCAAAATGCCACGGCCAGGCTATTATTGGGACTCCCTATTTGGGAGCACATCCAGCCTTTGCTAAAGGCTGCCTATAGCATACCGGATTCGTTTCAAGGTGCTGGCTCTTACCTTTAAAGCCCTTTATGGCCAGGGACCTACATACCTGAGGGACCGCCTTTCCCCACATGTCCCCCAGAGAGCACTGCAATCAGGGACCCAGAACTGGCTGGCCCTCCCAAGTATCAAGGAGGCCAGGCTAGTAACAAGCAGAGTTTCTCTGGTGGCGGCTCCACTCTGGTGGAATGAGCTCCCAGAAGAGATCAGGGCCCTGTGGGACCTTTTACAGTTCCGCTGGGCCTGTAAAACGGAGCTCTTCCGCCAGGCCTTTGGAGCTGCCCCCACCATTAGCAACAGACAGCTTGGATGGGAGAGCCCTGCCCCCCCCCCCCGGGATCTTTAAATATAGTCTGAGCCATCCGCCTAAGACAAACTAAGAAAACTAGAGGGCTGACTGCGAACTGTGTAACAACTACCACTGTGAAATTACGAAATTATGTTACTAGCACTTTATTATATTATGGTTTTAGCACTGTTTAATTGTTGGCTTAATTCTATTTGACATGCATTGCATACATTTTAGGTGTTTTATGTAAGCCGCTCTGAGCCGGCTTTGGCCGGGAGGGCGGGATAGAAGTCGAATAAATAAATAAATCAAATACTGAGATGAGATCCAAACTGCATGATACATTCAGCCATGAGTCAGGTTGGCGTATTTAGTGAAACCTCAGCCCCCCTCCCCCCCCCCCCCCCCCCCCAGTGGGGAAAACAATACCCCCTGGGTCCACTTTAGTTCAGGAAACCGGCACTGGGGATGAGGGGAGAATGAAACACACACACACGGTCCCAATCTTGCAATGTCTGGGAATTCTCTGCAGTTGCTGTCTGGCTGTAGGGAATAGGGACAGGTGTCCAAATATATTATATTGTTTGGACCTGATAACCTGGGCACAACTAACAGATTAAATGAGTCCCCAAGATAATCATTAGGTAGACTGATTAGGTAGAGTGGGAAGGTAACAGCGTTCCGTGCGCCTTGGTGTTTAGTCATGCTGGCCACATGACCACGGAAACATCTTCGGACAGCGCTGGCCCTTCGGCTTTGAAACGGAGATGAGCACCGCAACCCTAGAGTCGGATTCGACTGGCTTTCAAGCAAGGGAACCTTTACCTTTAGACTGAACCCACCATCTAAAGTACCTAGGGATGGCCAGCCCCCTCTGAATTCCACTCTGGTATTAAATGTATATGGTGGGTTCTCACTAGACACACATACACTCACCAACGCACACAGAGGAGGTTAGAAAGGGGTTGGGTGGGTTGTAAACTGCTTCGTCCAAAGGATGTGAAACACAGGAGGCAGAGATGTAGTTATGAAACATTCCAATATAGTCAAGGAAAGTGCTTGCGACAGCAGTAAATGGATAATAAAGCAAGTTCCCTGGTTTTGCTAAGCTGGTGAACTGGCCAAGGAATCAAATAAGCAACCTTCAGAAAAGTAATGGGTGGTGGAACCAAAAACGAACCACAAAGGATGTAGGATTGGGGGTAGGGGGATGCTACTCAGGCCCCAGTGGTTGGAGGTTCGTGCTGTAGGCAGACAAGAGAGGAAAGGGAACAGAGTGGATCTCTCAAGAGGTTTTCTGCCTATCGTCCTTTTATCTCACCCTTCCTCCGAGGAATTCAGGGTGGCAGTGGAAGTTCTTCCTTCATGCGCTTTGTCTACTTGTGAAGAAGAGTAAGGGAAAGGGGAGTGGTCAGCCCATAGTTGCCCCCTGAGATTCCTGGCTGAATGGAAAGTTGAACGTGGGTCTCCCCTGCTCTCTAACCATTACACTTACTTCCCACCCCCACCCCCCAGGCGATTGGCAGCCTTAGTTTCACATATTGATTCAAATTAACCAGTCCTAGAATTGGAAGGGTTTTAGAGGCCATCTAGTCTAACCATCTGGCCACTGCAGGAAATCTAAAACTAGAGCATCCCTTGAGAGATGGCTGTCCGCTGTTTTCTGGAAGATCTCCAGCCAGGGAAAGTCCACCCGCCCCCCCTAGGTAACTACCTCCATTGCTAATCTTATTGCCTCCCCCCCGTTTTTAATCTTCTCTGGACTGCAAATGAACATTCAGTTCAGCCATATGCTTGAATTTTGTTTTTTGATTGCTGTATGGATGTGTGAAAATTAAAAAGTATGCAAAAAAATTTAAAAAGCCAAGACGATATGCAAAACCAAAAACCCAATTATTTTTAAAGCTCACTTTTCACGGCCTGTTTCACAGATCTGCTTGTGTTACGTATCCATATTGTATAGACTTTTATGAATAAATACTGTAACCTTGTTTATAAACACAACATCAGTGTACATGGATTACGTATCAGATTGATGTGCTGATGCAAACAAAACACTGGGAAAAGCTTACAATTTGAGGAGGGAATTCTGGGTGTAGAAACAGAAAGTGGGGTGCAAATAAGCGATCATGGGTTCAGCTTGTCAGTATAGGCAAGATCACAGCATGTCATGGAACACGAGTTAGATCTAGATGATCTGGAATGACAGCTAAGAGGTCATATGACAGCAAAGTTGCATCATATCTGCACATGTCAGAATGACTCAGCAAGAGTACAGGACTGTACTGTGATTGGTCAATGGATGTATATATTGCAATGAGTTCTTTGTACAGTACTGCCTTGATGGTTATGGTTGTTATGCGAAGCACTTTGTCAGTGGATATTCTGAACTGCTGCAAGCTGTGTGTATGTATATAAGCTCTGTAAATAAACTGTAAATACTCTACTACAGCAACTCTCCTATTTTCCGGCTTCAAACACCGTCACAGCTCACACAAGGGGGAAGTGAAATCAGAATGGGGTTTGGGGGGTTGAAATGAAAGGCATGAAAACTTCAAGATCGCCTCTATTGTGAATTGTTTTCAGCGACTGTCAGTTCAGCAGTTCAGCAGCCACTGCCAACTGAACGGTCACACAAATAACTTTCTTCAGGGGATTCTATGGTGGACAGAAGCCTCGTTCACTTGTTACAGTGAATACATGTACATTTTGAATGCATGTGCATACACCTGTTTGTAAGAAACAGCCAACATGCATTCACTTTACAAATGAAACTGGGGACCAGGACCCTGACCTAGATAGCCCAGCCTAGCCCAATCTCATCAGATCTTGGAAGCTAAGCAGGGTCGGCCCTGGCTAGCATTTGGATGGGAGCCCTCCCAGGAATACCAGGGTCGTGACATGGAGGCAGGCAATGGCAAACCGCCTCTGAACATCTCTTGCCTTGAAAACCCCATGGGGTGGCCATAAGTCTGCTGCGACTTGAGGACTCTTTCTACCACCACCTCAATAAATGTTTGGTTTCAATCACATGTTCAGCTGTATATGCGTTACTCAAAACATGTACAGAGAAAAATCAAATGTACACTGTACATACGGTTGCCAAGTCGATCTTCTGTCGGAGTGGGGGGCTTCTGGCCGGCATCTGGTGCGTACGCACGTGCGCGCTGCATGCACGTCACCCGAAAGTGATGTGACGATGGCAGGCACGCTGGGGGCGGGGCCATGGCCATACGAGGGAAAACCATAGAGTTTTCCCTCAGATTGCCGTGGCCCCGCCCCCAGCGTGCCCGGCGTGGTCGCGTCACTTCCGGGTGACAGGCACGTCAGGGTGGAGTTCCCCCGGGGGCCCGATCCGGCGGCAGTGGGGAACGGGCCTCTGGGGTGGGGTTTTCCCCGCCCCCCAGGGGGACTTGGGAAGCCTAACTGTACATGGATTGGACAGGCTTTCACTTTAACTTGTGACCAGGGCTTGCATATACTTAACAGAGTTATACAATAATAAATAAATAAATAAGTGTCAACGCAAGGGAGGCCCTCTAAGATGTTGCCAACACAGTAGAGCCCAGAAGCTTGTCCTGGAAGTCAGAGAGAAAGGAGCGCAGGTACCTTTGGTGGTCTCACTCTCACGGATGAGGAAGGTTCCCCGGGGGCTGCCATGGCACAAGAGCTGCCTCTCTGCATCTTTACGGCCAATTTTCCCAAAGTACCACCTGGGGAAGAAGAGATACATGTGAATGCATGAAGCTGCCTTACACTGATTCACACTGTTGGTCTGAAGGACCCCAGCCATGGAGCATTAAGGCTGCTCTAACTGGCATGACGTCTTCCCAGGCTCCGTGTCAAGCATTTGACGGAATGCCAGGAATTAGATTATTAAAATTCATGAACTTGTGTTATGAATTAGGCTTATACAGAGTTAGATTATTTGTCCACTGGCTTGGCACGAATGCCTCTGACTGGCAGCAGCTCTCCAAGGTCCCAGGGTTTCCCACATCTCCTTCTACCTGACCCTTTTGACTGGAAATGCCTCCTGGGGTTCCAACCTGAGAAGCTTCTGCATGCAAAGCAGATGCTCTGCCACTGAGCCACAGCCGCCCCCCCCCCCCATATAATATACAGAACACATTAATTTGCCTTTTACTGAGTCAGGCAATTGGTCTACCAAGGTTCCTCTGACTGGCAAGTGCTTTCCAAAGTCTCAAAGGACTCTCATGTTATCTACTAACTGACCCGTTTAAATCCAGATTCCAGGGATCGAACTCGGGACCCTCCTGCAAGCAAACCAGATGCTCTGCCACTGAGCCACAGCCCCATCCCACATATAGGTTATTTAGTCCGGAGGTATGGACTGGGCTGCCCTCAATATGCAGATGACACCCAGCTCAATCTGTTACTGGACGGCTATCCATCCTCCATCCCTGGTAATCCGGCTGAGGCTCTGGAGGCTGTAGCTGGATGGTTCCGGCAGAGTCGCCTGAAGCTCAATCCATCGAAGACGGAGGTCCTGTACCTGAGTCGGGTGGTGGGGGGGGTGGATGTGGGTATCAGGCTCCACACTCTGGAAGGGACACCTTTGGTGCCAGCCCAGAAAGTGAGGAGCCTGGGAGTAACCTACCCAGTGGTCTCGAAAGCAACCTAATTGCAAGTAGGTAAATGGGTACCCACCCTTAGAGGGGTGGGGGGCACCCTGTGTGGTTGGCTGAAGATGGCGGAGATAGTGGAGACGGCGGCAGTGGCGGCAACGATGGCGGCGGCGGCGATCCTGGCGTGGACGGCATTGGTGGTGCGGCGAGCAAGGCGGCAGCGAGCAAGGCAAGGTGCGCGTTTGAGCGATCCCTGGTGGCGGAGAAGGAGTACACCGAGGGCTGCCGTGAAGAGAGAAGAAAGGGGCGTGCGCAGATGCCGAGTTCCGGCTCAGCGGAGCCGGAAAGGACGTGGCTGGGCCGGAAAGTAGGCGGAGCTGCGCGCCTAAGGAGGAGATCGCCACCACTGAATGCCGGAGACGCCAGAGAACGCCAGAGAAAGAACAACCCGCTGGACCAGGAGACCCGACCATGCCGAGCCAACGGAGAAACAGCAATAGCCACCACAGAGGGGGTGCCGGTAGGTTGTCCCACCCCCCCTTCATACATTGTGGCCCTAGCTAGGAACACAGGTGATTAGCACCAGAAACCCTGTAAGCCGCTCTGAGACCCTAGCCATGGGACAAGAGCGGGATATCAAGTCTAATGTAAGTAAGTATGTAAGTAAGTAAGTAACGCTGGATGCCTCTCTTTCCGTGGAGGCCCAGGTTACTGCAGTCGCCAGGTCTGCCTTTTCCCGTTTTAGGCAGATTAGGCTGCTGAGACCCTATCTCTCTCTCCAGGATTTAGCTACAGTGTCCCACGCGATGGTCACTTCCAGGCTGGATAGTTACTGCAAGTTGCTTTATGCAGTCTTATCCTTGAGGCTGACCCAGAAATTACAGCTGGCACAAAATGCACTGCTGCCCTACTGACGGCGACACCTGTGTGGGCTCATGTTCGGCAGGTGCTCCACCAACTGCATTGGTTACCGGCTGAGTTCTGGATTCGCTTCAAGGTGCTGGTGATAACCTTTAAAGCCTTACATGGTCAGGGACCAACCTATCTGAGGGACCGCCTCCTCTCCTGAAGGGCGTTTTGCTCTATGGATCAACAGCTCCTGGTGGTCCCTGGCCTGAAGGTCCGTCTTGCCTCGACCAGGGCCAGGGCTTTCTCTGCCCTGCGCCCTGCCTGGTGGAACATGCTCCCCATTGAGATCAGGGCCCTGCGGGATCTTCTTCCATTTCGCAGGGCCTGCAAGACGGAGCTCTTCTGCCAGGCCTTTGGCTGAGGCAGGCAACCTCCCCCAGCCACTCAATTTCTGACTTTGGGCTGTGACCACCAATTTTAATATTGTACTACTGTGTTTTTAAATGTTCATTATATTTATTGTATTACCGATATGCTCTTACCCACCCTGAGCCCGCTCGCAGGAAGGGTGGGCTATAAATATTTATTTATTTATTTATTTTGTTCAACTTTTATCCCACCCTCCCGGCCGAAGCCGGCTCAGGGTGGCTTACAACAGATAAAATTCCAAAATACATATAGATAATAAACACAACATTAAAATACTATGTTAAAACTAAATACAATAATACAGTGCTAGTCTTATGCGTCAGTACTGTTGGTCTGCATTGGGTGTCATAAGAAGATACTTCAGGTGTCATAGAGGGGGAGGAATCGGCTCGGGCAGTTATTGGGGGTCCAGTGGATCAGGGCTCTTTCCCATACCATGTCAGTTGGCATTCCCAGTGGTAATAGCAGTGGGGGGTGAGGGTAGCGGCCCCAAAAGCCTGCTGGAAGAGCTCCATTTTACAGGCCCTGCAGAACTGTAAGAGGTCCCGGACACAGGGCCCTGGTCTCCTCTGGGAGCTCATTCCACCAGAGTGGAGCCACCACCAAAAAATCCCTGGCCCTGGTCGTCGCCACCCTGGCCTCCTTGATGCTCGGGAGGACCAGCCGATTCTGGATCCCTGATCACAGTGCTCTCTGGGGTACGTATGGGGAAAGGCGGTCCCTCAGGTATGTAGGTCCCTGGCAATAAAGGGCTTTAAAGGTAAGAACCAGCATCTTTAAGCAGATCCGGTAGGCCATAGGCAGCCAGTGCAATGCCTTTATCACAACTTGAATGTGCTCCCGGATAGGGAGTCCCATCAACAGCCTGGCTGTGGCATTTTGCACCAGCTGAAGCTTTCAGATCTGTGACAAGGGCAGCCCCATGTAGAGGGCGTTACAGTAATCCAGTCTCAAGGTGACCATTGCGTGGATCAATGTTGCCAAGTTGCTGCGTTCGAGGAAGGGAACCAACTGCCTAATCAGCCGGAGATGGTAAAAGGCTGACCTGGCAGTGGCTGCTACCTGGGCCTCCATTGTTAGGGAGGCATCCAGGAGCACTCCCAGACTCCTAACCTCCGGTGCTGGCACCACTGGCGCCCCATCGAAAGTTGGGAGCGGGATCCCTACCCTCAGACCGCTGCGACTCAGGCACAGGACCTCCGTCTTCGTCGGATTCAATATGAATAAATAAATAAAGAAAGAAAGAAATAAAATGTGGTGCATCACACCATGAGATTTTAAAGGCAGAACAGCGCAAGGGTAGAGCCCACCTCATTAGCTACATAAGAGGTAGATTAACAATGCAATCCTCTGCAAAATTACTCCAGCCTAAGCACATTGAGGCGCTGCGGTGGCTCAAGTGGCTAAGACGCTGAACTGCAGGCTCTGGAAGGTCGGTCGTTCAGCAGTTCGAGACCCGGGTGCCGCATGATGGAGTGAGCTCCCGTCTCTAGTTCCAGCTCCTGCCAACCTAGCAGTTCGAAAGCAAGAAATTGCAAGTAGATAAATAGGTACCACTTTGGTGGGAAGGTAACAGCGTTCCGTGCGCCTTGGTGTTAAGTCATGCCGGCCACATGACCACGGAAACGTCTTCAGACAGCGCTGGCTCTTCGGCTTTGAAACGGAGATGAGCACCGCAACCTTAGAGTCGGATTCGACTGGCTTTCGAGCAAGGGAACCTTTACCTTTACCTTTAAGCACATTGAAATCAAGGAGCTTAAACTGGAGTAACTCTGCATAGGACTGCACTATAACACAGCTGTTGTAATGCAGTCCTTTGACCCTGTCAGATGAGGAACTTCAGCACTGAGTGCAGAAGAGGGTCTGAGGTAACAAAGTCCAGGTTCACATAAGCAGGACATGGGCTGCACTGGACTGCATGTGGAGAATACCATTTTTGGAATGCTCCCCCATCTTAAAAACTCCCTACAAACAGAAAACCAGTGTGGAAAGCAAAGAGAGGGGGCAGAACCATTCTCCCATTCTCCCAAGCTAGTCTTCTACATGCAGGGAGAGGTTGTTTTTTTAAATGTAAAGGAACAATGAAAGATGGAATGCAGACCTGCAGTTGCGGGGGTGGGGTCGGTTTACAGGTTTGGGAAGAGCAGGTCTCTGGCACTTCCAGTTACAATATAATTAGAAAATAAGTGTTGGGAAAGACTGTTCTTTGCCTGTGATCCCAGAGAGCATTTCAGATGGTACTAAACTTGGTAGGTGGATAAATGATCTAGCTTTTCATAAAACAGGTTTATCAATAGGGCAAGGATCAGGCCTCTTAGAGTACTAAGACTTTCTGCTTGAGTGTATAGGGGGAGAATCCTTGCAGAAATACATGCATATTTTTGGAAAACTAAGACATACCCCCTACTTACTCTTCTGCTTGGATGGAGTCCACAGGTGCCACGTAATTGCTAGGAATGTAACCCGTCGTTCCTGTGCTCAGAGACCTGGCCTCCCACCAGTCTCCCTCTCTGAAGAAACAGGAGAAAACCACATGAAGCCAGCTAATGTTTCAGGCAGGCAAACAGAACCTTGCTTCTCTATCAGAGCACCGTCTTTAAAAACCACAACTCTGGCATCTCTGGGGTATTTCTCAGTAAGGAGCCTGAACAGGAAACAAGATAGCTAGTGGACGGCAGTGGTTTCACTGCTAGACTAAGATTCAGGAGACAAGATTCAAATCAGCCATGAAGCTCACTGGGTGACTCTCTCTTAGCCTAATCCAGGGGTCATTTCCTGCAGGAGTGCACAGGAGCGGAGCTCCAGCAGTAAAGAGCCCAGGGGGCGGGCACATGCAACAAGCCCCACCCCCTGCTCCCAGCAGCCCTCAGTCAGAGCAAGAAGCAGCCAGGTAAATTGCAGAGCCCCCCCCCCCAGTCCAAAACAGGCCAGTGGCACCTTTAAGACCAAGTTTTATTCAGGTACAAGCTCTCCCTCCTCTGCGAGGACAGATCTGCACGTCCCCCCCCCAATAGCTAGCAATCCAAAACAGTCCAGTGGAGTCTGAGCGGTGGGTGTTGCCTTCTGACACACTTCTGATGATGTCAGGGGGTGTGGTATATGCAAATAAGTTATGCTAATGAGTTATGCTAATGAGCTCCTGCACCTCTTTTTTTCGAAATGACCCCTGGCCTAATCTACCTCAAAGTGTTATTGTAAGGGGAAATGGAAGCAAGGGGATCATGGAATGCCATCCAGCAAAACTTGGAGGAAGGATGAGATAAAAATATCAACAGAATGATGATAATGTTCTACTGTCAGTCTGGAATGGGGCTGTTCTATGTCTTCCTGTTGCCTTTTGAGGCTGCAAGCTGTGTACAAGAGAACAAAATGTATACAGTGAGTTTGTAACTAAAGTCTACTTGCTGCATTTTGTACAGGTGTAGATGAGATAAGTGTTTATGAGGCAATCCATATGAGCAGGATTGGGGAAAGGGTTCTTGTCTTATCCAGGAGTGATTGTGCTGGCCCAGCCCCTGCCTGGTGTTAAGAAAAGAGAGGCAGTGTGACGTTGTGTGTAAAGTGCCAGACTAGTGTTTGGCAGAACCAGGTTCAAATCCCCACTCTGCCCTGGCAGCTTGCTGGGTGACCTTGGGCCTGTTCAGCCTCAGTGACCTCACAGGGTTGTTGTTGTGAGGATAAAATGAAGGAGAGACAAACGATGCTGTCAGCCACTGGGAAATAAAGTGGTGTATACATATCTAAAAGAAATAAATATAAAAGAAAATACTAGCCCCGCCCCATTGTACTTGCCCTGCCCTTTGCTTGTGTGGTTTTCCCCACCGTGTAGGCTTAGAGCCACATGAGGGCAAAGTATGCTGGGAACACTGCTTTGACAGACGTTTCTTCAAGACTGACTGGGGAAGGTGGGAGAGAATCAGTTCCTCCTGTTCGTAGCCAAAACCAGCTATGAAAAACACTAACTGTCCGATCCTTGTGATATCACAAGCTCTCTGACTCCCCTTTCAGCAGCAGTTTAAACAGTCAATTTTGTGCAAGTTTGTTTTTAAGGGAAGCACCAAACAACGGTTCAAACAAACACAAAGATCCACAGACCTCCTGAAACACTGGGGGGTGGGGGGGAGTCCAGCCTACTCCATTAACATTCAATTATGCTGGCAGGTAGGTCTGCAAATGAGTTGTCACAATGGGAGGAGGTGCAGGGAAGCTGGGCTGCACTGACAGAAGCATGCCAAGCAGCCTGTCCTGATTTTAAGGCACATCTGCACATGATGTCATAGAGAGCGTCCTGACATTGTACTTTGGTGATGGGGTTCATGGCTGGCACACTCCGGCTGCAGCAAATTCATTTCAAACTCTCCAATCTGTTTTTTTTAAAATCCATTATTATACAGAACCAAGTTATGTGCACGTAGTCAAACAAGCAGAGATAAGGGAAGTGTGTGCAACTTTTCATGCTTTCTGAGAAATGTGCCAAGTGTGGCCATGTATCCCATCTCACCCGCAATAGTGAAATGCGCAAATTCCAGATGAGCACATGTATGTGGCTACAAGGGGGAAGTCCTTCACACTTCTACCAACATTTGTTTGAATGCCCAAAGCTGCTAGCCAATCTCACACAAGTGGCTGCACAGATGGTTGTTAACACAGTGGTCTTTAAACCCATGGGTCAGGACACTCAAGTGGATCACAGGGCCCTAACTGCTGACTCTCAGACCCCTCTAGATTTGCCTTTTCTCCTGCCTTTTGGGAAGACCTGCTGCTAGTGCACATGAATAGAGAGAAATTATGCCATGTCTCTTGCTTCTCTCTTTGCATGCACCCTGAAGGGAGAGGCCGGATGGCAAGAGGAGGTCCCTCAGCAGCAGAGAACATTTCTCCATGGGACCAGCTTCCAGCTAACTCCTCAGTGTGTTCCATTTTCTGGCACTTCCCCTGACTCTATTTTCTTTCCCTGACTCTTTCCATTTGTCGCTCGCTGTCCTGGCCTTAACATTGGTGAGGTCATCACTCAGCTCCAGATCTTCCTGTCATGACTCTGATGTCACATCCTTGCAGCTAAGTGGGCCTTGGGGTCCGGAAAGCTTGAAGACCTACTGTGTTAGCTTCCCCTCCTATTCAGAGTGGAGATAAATAAACTCACGTATTGTTGATGATGTGGAATTTCTCTCCCTTCATAAACGTGAGATCGTCCTCGGTCCTGGCTTCATAATCGTACAAGGCAACGAAAAGGGTCACTCCTCCACCTGCAGGGCATCAGCAGGAAGGCGGTGAGAGCCGCATACTGAACTTCAGCACATCTGAAATTCTGCTCCAAGGCGCATGCCCACCACTGGGCCCCAGATTAATTGAGACACAGTCAGTACCACCCACCCAGGTTTCCATTCAGCTGGACTGAAAGGAATAATTTAAGCACACATGGGGAAAAGAAACCAAAGGGATGCTGAGTTTGTTCTAAACTTGTTCCCCCCCACGCACAAACAGCAGGTATACCAATACCCCCCACTCCCACACTCTGTAAGCACATATAAGGCCTGTTTCCACATTGAAAGAAAGAAAAAGAGGGCAAGAAGAACAGGTAACAGAAAAAGAGAGACAGTATTCATTGTCATTCTCTACTTTCCCCTCAAATACTTAAAGAAGCAAACTTGTTCCTTATTAAACCCCCTCCCCGTGCCCAGCTGCACAAAAACTCAGCTCCCACCTCATACGTTGTTTCACAACCTGCAAACTGCAGCCATCTTCATGTTAAGAATGCACTAATGGCACACACCTCAAACACCATCCCGCCACACCACATAGGTGTGAAAGAACAGGGAAGGGAGGAGAAGCAGAAAGCCAGCTCCCCGTATCCAAACCCTCACACTACCCAGCCACAGACCAGCTCAGGAGACTGACCTGCAACCCCAATTCCATGTGTATGCAGCGATGGGGTTGGGTAGAGGCCAGAGCCTGGAAGGAAAGCAGGAGTAGAAGGCCCCGGTGTCCCTGGGAAGTTGTTGAAATCGGGGATGCGTGTGAAGTTGTTGGAGGGGTTCGGCTGAGTGGGATCGGGGTCAGAAGGCTGGGTGGCTGCCCCGTCGCTGCCATTGCTCTGATTTTTGCTTACCCACTTCTTCTTGCATTGCACACAACCCATTGCTGGGTGGCACCTGTGGGGAGAGGAGAGAGCAAGAAGAGGGGAGACATGAGGAAAAACAGAGACGCAGGTCAGCGATGGGGTGGGGTAGAGGCCGGAGCCTGGAAGGAAGGCAGAAGGGCCTGGTGTCCCTGGGAAGTCTCTCAAGGGTAGGCTGGCCCTGTAATTTACCAGAAAACTTCCCAGAGGGCTACTGGCAGTCTGGAATATGCTGAGCCGAGGCCCAGCAATGACAGTAACATTACAGAGCCACTGTGACCCGGCTGGTGGCCGCCATGATAGGCATAGGCTCACCACAACCACATCCTGCACTGCGGCCAGCAGCAGACATTAAAAACATAAGAACATAAGAACTTAAGAGAAGCCAATGCTGGATCAGGCCAATCGCCCATCCAGTCCAACACTCTGTCACACAGTGGCCAGAAATACCAGTGCCATCAGGAGGTCCACCAGTGGGGCCAGGACATTAGAAGCCCTCCCACTGTTGACACCCCCCCCAAGCACCAAGAAGACAGAGCATCCCTTGCCCCAGAGTCCCTATCTATACCTTGTGGCTAATAGCCACTGATGGACCTCTGCTCCAGATGCTTATCTAATTCCCTTTTGAAGCCGTCCATGCTTGTAGCCGCCACTTCCTGTGGCAGTGAATTCCATGTGTTTTATTTTTCTGAAAGAAAGCAACACGGCAGGAGTTGCAGCAGGAGAGGATGGATGAGACTATAGGGGTTGTTGCCACTGTTTGGCACAGCTTGGCTTGCTCCTGGGCCATTTTAACTTTCCAATCCACCCTGGAACCACCTGCCGGCTCAGATCTGCACACAATCTGCTTCTGATCATTCCATCTTTTGATCAGGCTTCCTCAGTGAGATGTTGTTCCTTCACTGTGGTGACTCTCCATGCTGTGGTATGGCCAGGGTGATTTGGGGGCTGATTCTGAGGCCTGAGGCAAAAGTTCAGGATGGACCCCCAAAAGCACCACCTTCCCCCGTAGGGTTGCCAGCCTCCAGGTGGGGCCTGGGGATCTCCCGCTTTTACAACTGATCTCCAGCTGACAGAGATCAGCTCCCCTGAAGAAAATGGCTGCCTTGAACTGTGGACTCTATGGCATTGTACCATGCTGAGGTCCCTCCCCTCCCCAAACCCCACCCTCTCCCGGATCCCCCCCCAAAGTCTCCAGGGATTTTCCAACCCAGATCTGGCAACCCAACCCCCCCCTTGCCAGGGCCCAGCAAGGCCCCCAAGCGATGTGAGTGGGAGCTACCACTGCTGCTGAAGCCAGCAGTCCAAGACCCAGATGTGGAGAACACAAGTTGCGGCAGGAGCCTGCTCTTCTTCTTTCCCTCCTCCATCAGGGTGGTGGTGCTGTGGGTGCTCAGTGCTCCTCCCAGCATGACGCCCAGGGCAGTTGGCCCTGATGGACATTAGCTAAGACTGCCTCTGAGTATGGCCAAAGTACATGGAGCACCATCACTTAGAGCCTTCCTCAAAGGTTCTGGGAGACCCCTGTTCCCCACTCTGCCGTGAAAGCTTGGATAACCTGGCCCAGTCTCAGCGTAACCTACCTCACAGGTTGATTGTTGTGAGGATTAAATGGGGGAAAGGGAGAACAACATTGGAAGTCACTTTATAGGGTTGCCAAGTGTATCTTCGCCGGGAGCGGGGGGCTCCCTGCTGGCGTCTTGTGTGTGTGCGTGCGTGAGAAGCATGCGCGCACCGCACGCACGTCACCCGGAAGTGACGGGAGGACGCCAGGCACGCTGGGGGCGGGGCCATGGCCATACAAGGGAAAACCATAGAGTTTTCCCTTGTATGGCCGTGGCCCCGCCCCCAGCGTGCCCGCGTCACTTCCGGGTGACGTGCGCGTTGGGGTGGAGTTCCCCCCGGGGCCCGATCCGGCGCCGCCAGGGAACGGGCCTCTGGGGCGGGGGTTTCCCTGCCCCCTGGGGGGACTTGGGATCCCTATCACTTTAGGTCCCCATTGGGGAGAAATGTGGAGTATAAATATGTCAATCAAACTTCCCTGTTTTGGAAGCAATTTGGAGAGTGACGGTGATTGTTGATTGCAGTATTTAGCTTTGGCAGCTGTAGATTTATTTTCTGAAGTTCTAGAAAAGCCAATAGCTGGACATGTTAACCACCATGGTCATCCCACTGAAGAGCTCAGAGCAGTTCCCCCTCAGCTGTACTCAGATGGATGAATGGAATGTTAAGAGGTAGAACAGAACTATATTCAGAAACTGGACTGTCAATGTAGGCCTAGACAAGTATCATACTTGAGACTCCAGCCTAATACCATTTCTGAAATGGCTCAGGCAAGTTCCAGTTTATATAGAGCAAGACCCTTCCCTAAGCCAGCCAGTGAGCCACATTAGGGGAAGCACTGGGTACCAAAATACCACTCAGGAAACAACTCTGTATGGAGTGACTATGAGCTAAGTAATCTGGTTGGACAAGTTCCTTGCCAAGTACTTATCTGCTGAATTAGTTGCCACCCTAGGAACACAGAAACATACACATAGAATGGGAAAGTGTACACTGAAGGCAGAATATTGGTGCAGACATTGCATTGGCACCAGAAAAAAATGACAAGAACCAACCTAGTTCGTTCATGTCTGAAGGTCAGAGGTAACTTCATTTGCACTAGTTACCCTTCCAAGCACAGTGAACATGGTTCACTTGGCTTGGAAGTCTTATTTACTTTTCAAATGCATATTTCTGTTCAAGAGTGCATTGGGGTAAAAGAAAACACATTTTAAGAGTATTTTGATTGGTGACTACACATTATTTATGTTCTGAAGGATAATTATATGGGGTCTGAAAAATGGGAGCTGTCCCTCTCCCCGAAATGGCACTCCAGACTGCAAAACTGATTATAAAGCACTTTGATTTCACTGTGCTGCATATGAGGAAAGGAAAGGCTTGGGGCACATATGGATCATTGATGCTCTGCAGCTGTACATGTTCAAGGGAGGGGGGATGTGCATGACTCAACATGAAGGAAGGAAGCATAAAGGGCATTTGCCAGCTTTGTTCTTCTCAAGGACTGTCAGTTTTTCACTCTCTTTCTTCCTGCCACATGCTGGTTGCGTGGCAACATGTCTGGTATACCAGCCAAATAAAGCCATATGTAACAGGAGGCATGGTAGAAGCTTAAAGACCAGCAGATCACGGATGGAGGCAGCTTGCAAACATTTAGAAGGCCCACAGGGTGTGCAACAACATCCTCCCCTGCTGCACCACCATGACTGCTGTCCTTATGGGGCAGGAGGCCCTAAGGCCTCCAAATGACCAGAAGGGTAGCCTTGCCTGATATCCTAGCAAAAGAGCAGGGTCAAGAGTCAAGCTTTCCCCAAGCCACAACCAATGTGACAAGCTATAAGAATGCCTTCTGCATGGGAAGAGGTGGGGGGTGGGGTGCTCCCCACTCAGGGCATGGATGTACTGCCTCCCACACAAGTATGCCAGGGCCTGCTGCTGTTGCTACCATGGAAACTTCCAGGAGGGAAAATGGCTATTGCAATCGAGGCCCTGAACCCACCGAGAGAGAGAAAAGCAAGAAAAATCTTGTAGGCCCTTCCCGTTTTGACAAAATAAAGCAAGAAGCGTCAAGCTGCACTCAGACAGGGCCTTAGGCAGAGTCTGGTGCTGCAAGAAACAGAGGGAGGAGATCAGTAGCAGGGAAGAGCACACAAGCAGCAGAGGCGGGTGCATCTCTTAATTCGCAGTGACAGAGACCTCTGGGCCACCTGCCACTGACGGCCCTCGGGGTTAGTGGGACAGTCGAGAGCCAGTGCGATTGGGGGGGGGCAGAGAGAAGAGTGCTGTCATTGGTCCCTCTTTGGCATGCACTGAAAATCCTTGACTGTGTCAGGGGTTGTAGCTTACAAACCAGAGACTGGGGCATGCATTACAAGCCTCAAGCGACCTCCACGGCATGATCACAGGGAGATATGACTGTGGCTTTGTACGTGTGCAGCACATTTCATGAATTAAGTTCACTTCCTGCAAAATAAGGGTCATAATAAGAGGGTGATAATATCCCTTTGTTCAAGGATAAGACAGGAAGCTTCCTTCCTGCTGTTCCTTCCGGCTGCTCCCGGACTGGGTTTCCGCTGTATATTTGTGGGGGGAAGCAAGCAGGGTGGGAAAGGGTTAAACATCTGTCTGCTGCTACTCTGTTGCAAGGTCACTCCCCACTCCCCCACTTTGCAGTTGCTCCAGAAGGACCAGGATTGCTAAACTGGGATCTCTTGCCAAATATGTCATTTCAGCCTCCAAGATGGGAGTGTTTCAGAGGTGTACGGTCAGCCAGCACTCCTGCCTGTTTCTGCACCCTGCTTACGATGGGAAGTCTCCATGATAAGTAATAGCAAATTGGCTGGGCCGCGTGCAGATGGCCAAAGCAGCAAAACTGGGCCACCCACTGATAATAAGACAGGAATCTATGTCTACCCAGGGAACTCCACAGAGTTACAAAGGGAAGAAAAAACATTACAAATTGGTCCGATGAAGAATAGATATTTCACAGAAGAGACAGAATGTTGAAAGCAGATGAGTATTAGTTTAGATTTAACAGGGCTATTTTTGGGCAGGAACGCACAGGAACGGAGTTCCGGCTGGCTCCTGAGTTGGCCACACCCAGCAGGCACTCATTAGCATAACAGGCCACACCCAACAGCAGAAACTCATTAGGATTGGCTACATTAGGGGTGTGTGGCCTAACATGCAAAGGAGTTCCTGCTACAAAAAAGCCCTGGGTTTTGACAACAAACAAGGTAAACAGAATAAGAAGCAAACGATGGGCGTGGCTGGATAGCCACACTTATGGTAACATGGGGGTGCAGCCTAATGTGGTAATGAGCTGTGCTGTCAGGGGTGTAGACTGTTGGGTGTGGCTGTTGGGTGTGGCCTATTATACTAATGAGTTACTGCTGGGCTTTTTCTACAAAAAGAGCCCTGGTTAGAAATAAGCCCCTGGGCCCTTAGAGGTTTGCACACAGGGATATTTTGAAGGGCAGAGTGGGATTTCCGTATTCTTGATGGCCTCCTGAAATTCCTTGCAGATCCCCAGCCTGTCACTATAATAGTAAAATGGCTGGCCTTTGTTATGATAATGAAAGCAATAATAGTGAGGCATCTACATACTTGGGGGACTTCCCAAGTATGCAGACAAATATGACTTTGTAAATCCCACCCCCCTGCCAAAAACTCCTGGTTTACAGAGGACTGAATATACTCTAGAAGGCACTGAAAGTTGAAAACAGCTGAGAGTCTGTAAAAAGGCGAAAGAGGGGAGGAGATATTAACTTCTTGAAGCTTAGAGATTCCTAGAGAGGGGCATTCAGGAGATACTTCAAAACTATCCCCTGCTATTCCATGCAGACCCCCAGTCTGTTTATGATTATTTACACAAACCATCCTCTTTGTCTTCCATTTGACATTGACTGAAGCAATGCGATAATTGTGGCTCTTACCCACTGATTATTTTGGTACTTACCAAAATGGTACTTCAGGTCAGCGCTGCTGTGCCATGGCTTTTGCTGAGTGAGAACAAGTGCCTAGAGAAGGAGACACAGAAAGGGGCACATTAATGAGGTAGATACCAATGGGCACATCTTCTGTGTCACATCCTACTGGTAAGTGCTCATATGCTCACAATGGTCCCTATTTACCAGGGAAAGCTCTGGTTTTGGCCTTTCCACACTCTGCTTTTAGTCCAGGCAATTCTGCACTAAAATCTAATTCAACCTTCTTTTTATTCCAGGGTTTTTTTTCCTGTTCTGCATTACAGTGGCATCCTTCTTGCTGCACCAGTGTCAATTTCGCTTGTTTTTTCAGTTGGGGACAGAAGGGGACATACATAAAATCTTTTCAAAAACTGTCTGTATCTAATATCTGAATTTAATGCCAAAATTATGTTGAGATTTTATGTCTCAAATGGATTTTATGTCTCAAATTGCAAAGTGCAGCATTCCTTGGCGTATGGGATTCTTCTTTCATACCCCAACCAGAAATGTAAACATCAAACACAGCATGGAAGAATGACAAACATATCCAGGCAATTGTTACAGGGGGTTCCCTTTCTTCCTTCGGACAAATTCAGGGGTGAGACCAACACTTCTGACAGAAAAAAGAAACCGTTTGGATTGCTGACTTGTTCACTACAATTGACAATCACCTCCAATGCCCAGTCTTTCAAAAGGAGCCCCGGCCACTGTCTCCCTTTTTTGTCCTTTGTTGGTGCTTTATTATAATTTTGTTTGTGTAAGTTGCTAGAGATGCCACTCAACAAATCGCAGTTCAACCGAACACGTGCAGAGTTCTGAGCTTCTACCACCACTAGCTCCCAATCTTTTGTCTCTCTCTCTCCCTAACATGTTTCTCCACCCCTTCCTCCAATGAGCTCAGGGAGGTATATATATAGTTCTCCATCCTCTTTTTTACTCTCTCAACATGCTGTGTGGTAGGTTAGGCTGAGTGTGTGTGACTGGCCCAGGGCCACCCAGCAAGCTTCCATGGCAGTGCAGGGATCTGATCCCAGGTCTCTCAGATCCTAGTCTGACACATGAACAACTCCACTGGTTTGGCTCTTAGAGCATGCAGCCCAGATGGCTCTTATTTAAAAGGATTAACTGCTGGAACCCATCAGCCTTCTTGCCATAGGGTCTGACCAGTCTGTCTGCTGAGACATGGCAGGGCAGGCTTTGAAGCACTAGTTACGTGGTTGTCTCTGGCATGGTGGCAAAGCGGGGTGAACTCTACGGCACCACATCCCTGCTGAGCTCCCTTCCCAAACTTCACCCTCCTCAGGCACTGCCCTAAATCTCCAGGAATGTCGCAAGTGGGAGTTGGCAACTCCAGCCCAAGCATGCAAAAGACTCTGAAAAGACTTAGCTGTGGCCTAGGGGGCCAGGTCAGGCCAGGCTGCAAGCACATTACCACAATATGGTTTACTAATGACCAGTGTTCCCTCTAAGCTGAGTTGGTGTGAGCTAGCTCACAGTTTTTTAGCCTCCAGCTCACGCATTTTTGTCTTAGCTCAGGAAGGAGGGCTCCAGAGCAAACTGATTTATGCAGAAGTCAAACCGCTCGCTCACAACTTTAATGCCAGTAGCTCACAACGCAGAATTTTTGCTCACAAGACTCCACAGCTTAGAGAGAACATTGCTAATGACATCTTTGCGATAAAAAAGTGGTGTGTTTTTTTTTTTAAATTTAGGAGCTCCCTGCTGCATGTTTGCCCCAAGCCCATAGAAATTAGGCTTGGGCCTTTGGACGATAGGTTTTTAAGGGGAAAAGGTGAGTTTAAAATGCCTTAAAAATAAGGGCATCCCCCCGGGTCAAGGAGCAAAACTAGACCCCCTGCTTTGGACCCACTGAGTTTGTTTTGCCATCAGGCCCAAATTCTGGCTATGCAGTTGTCAGTCCAGATCTTCATCTCCTGATAGCTGGGCTGTGAAATGATTTTCCATGGTGGGTGCCCTAACACAAAGGGAGCACGGAAGGATGGATGCAATCCGATGTGTCATGGCTCAAGTGCATAGGATGCCCTTCACAGCAGCCTAGAAGGCAAGAATTGGGGGCTGGGAAGAAAGTTATCTCCTTCAGGGAAGCCAGAACCAGCCAAGCCCACTGCAGCTCCTTAACTCTTTGCTGAACGGCAAGCAAGACCTACATGTGCCAATATGTGTATTTGGTTTCACTATCTGTTGCTGCCGATGCGTCTACCTGTAGCCCTGTCAGATTCTTGCAAGTTTGGGGGGGGGGGAAGGGTATCTTGTCTAGAGGGTGCCATGATTCTAAGAGCTAGTGCATGTCGACTTCCTTGGCTCTGTGTAAACCAAACCCAGATGAGGTAAAAATGCGCAGGTCCACTTTGCAGTGATTCCCACAGCAGTGCTGAGAAGTTATGCTGTAACTGCCAGTTGCTACAGAATTCTGCATACCAAAGTTGATCTGGCAAGGAGCACCCCCCCAAAAAAAACAATGCATTTTAACTTGTGGAACTCACTCCTACAGGCAGGGCTATTTTGGGGCAGGAACGCACAGGAACGGAGTTCCGGCTGGCTCCCAAGTTGGCCATGCCCACTACAGCTAAAACCTCTGCACGCGTGGCTACAGAGGGAAGGCCTGGAGAGCGACCCTCCCCAGCGACTCCGAAGCGGGCGGGCCAGGGGGGCCTGGAAGGATCGGGGAGGCATTTAAGGGCTGGCTTGCCAGGCATCCTGCAGCCATGGGGCACCTGGGCAAGTCAAGGGAAGACATGGGGGTGTGGCCTGATATGCCAACGAACTGTGTTGTTGGGGGTGTGGCCTAATATGCCAATGCTGTGCTGTCGGGGGTGTGGCCTAATATGCCAATAAGTTTCTGCTGTTGGGGGTGTGGCCTATTATGCTAATGAGTTCATGCTGGGCTTTTTCTACAAAAAGAGCCCTGACTACAGGATATAGTGATGGACACTCAGGTACTTTAAAAGGGAGATTAGACAAATTCATGGGCAATAGCCCCATCAAAGGCTATATACCAGAATAACTAAAGGGAGCTTCTGCGTTAAGAGGCATGGTGGAAGCCAGCTGAGGTAACAACTGAATTGGGGTGTGGTAACAATAGAAAGAAGCTTTAGCTTCTTTGCTGTAGCTTGTGGCCCTTCTGGTTGGCCACTGTGGGAAACAGGAAGCTGTACTCAGTGGACCATTGCTCTGATTCAGCATGGTCCTTCTTATGTTCCAATGGGACAACAACCTTTATTCATAAAAGTAGACGTGACTCATTCCAATCTCCTATGGGAGCTGAGAACACATGAACGCATGAATATACCTTACAAGTGGGGACCTGCAAGAAACTTGTGGGAGCAGCTATCCCATTCCCGTCAACTCTGCTTATTCCCCTCTTCCCCTACTTCTCTCACACTCTTTCTCCTTCCTGCCACCCCTTCTCTTTCTCTCTCTCTCTCCCCTCCATGCCTGTCACTTCCTTTCTGCTCCTGTCACTCTCCTGGCCTCCCACCTACTTCCCTCCCCAGCAGCAGTGGCAGCAGCCACTCTCCAGGAATCACAATGGATTGCCCAAATACAGAGATCAATTCCTCTTAGGGTTGTCAGCTCCATGTTGGGAAATTCCTGGAGATTTGGGGGTGGAGCTTTGGGAGGATGAGGTTTGAGCTTTGAAGTGACCTCAGCAGGGTATAATACCATAAACTCCACTATTCAAAGCAGCCATTTTCTCTGGGGGAACTGATTTCTGTCATCTGGAGATCAGTTGTAATTCCAGGAGAACTCCAGCCCTCACCTGGCGGTTGGCAACATTAGTTCCCCTGGAGGAAATGACTGCTTTGGATGGTGGAGTCTATGGCATCATATCTGCCTGAAGTCCCTCCCTGCCTCAATCCCCACCACCCCCAGGCTCCACCCCTCAAATATCCAGGGATTTCCCAACCTGTAGTTGGCATCCCTATCTCCTTCCCACCCAACAGCCAACCTTCCTCTGGCTTCAGGTTTCCATCTTCTTTCCCCCTGCAGCTTCTACTGAGGAATGCTATGGTTTTTCACCAGAGTGGGGACTAAAGCAATTTATATTATTTTCTCCTCCTTTTTATCACATAACAACCCTATGAAGTAGGTTAGGCTGAAAGTATGTGACTGGTTCAAAATCACCCATTGAGCTTCCACAGCAAGATGGGGTCTTGCAAACCCTACTCTGAAGCTCTGACCATTATACTACACTGACTTTCATAGGGGGGCTGCTGTTGAACAGTAGCAAGCAGCCAGGCCTAGTGGAATCATGCAAGTCAGGTGGTATCAAGTCACACAGAAGGTGCTGCCAGGCCTAATTTTGCCAGCCTCCAGGTGGGACCTGGAGACCCCCCAGAATTACAACTGAACTCCAGACAACAGAGATTTATCTCCCTGGAGAAAATGTGTGGACTCTGTGGGATTATATCCAGTTGAAGCCTCTCCCCTCCCTGAACTCTGCAGTGCTCAGACTTCACCACAGAATCTCCAGAGATTTCCCAACCTGGAGCAGACAATCCTAGTCCCAAACCTGGCTCTAAGCTCCCTGCTATTTAGCCATTTATACTCCAGGAGGAATCCTTCCCAACCCAAGCTCTATACCTGCTTTTACTTCCTGTTCTCTCTCTCTCTGGCTATCTCTCAGTCTATCTCTTATTGTAGATGTGGTGGGGCCTGGAGTAGATACCTGTGGTGGCCATTTCAAAAGGTATTCAACCCTCCCTGAGTTTTTAAAAAACCTTTTGGATTTTTCTGCAGACCCACAGAGTTCCATGAGAAAAACCTGTTGGGGGAGAGTGTGCCCCTTATCTGCGGAAATAAATATCCACACACAGAGGGGATTGTTGAGAATTAGATATATAGATACTGAGTAAAGCCATTTGTCCATCAAGGACAGCCTTGTCTACTCTGGCTGGCAGCAGTTCTTCAATCAAAGTCTTTCCACAACACTTACTACCTGATCCTTTTAATTGGATATGTGAGGGATTTGAACCTGGGATCTCCTGCATACAAAGCAGATTTATTTATATATTTATTTATATTCCAAT